TCCCTTCCAACCCCAAACATTCTGTGATTCTGTGATAAAAAGGGAGGAGACTATTGCCATGTCCCGCCCTGGCAAGTAGCGTGGTACAGCAAGTGCAGCAAAACATTTGGTGCTGAAAACCCAGAACCTGGATGCCTTAAGATTTTAACTTCAGGCTAGCTGTAGTTTGGTCCTGTGACCGGCAGTCCTGGAGCAGTCTGGTAGTTTCATTTGAAAAAGAAATCTATTTGATGCATTGTGAGACCATGCCATGATGTGGACCAAAGCATGGGAAGTGGGGGACTTTGGCAAATCAGCTTGTAAAGCACATGTTGGATCTCCTGATCTGTACATTAGGGACAGTTTCAATTGTATAGAGCTCAACGATTGTGATGACAAGGTCGAGTGCTTATGGGTAAAGATGCGGGGGAAAGCCAACAAGGCAGACATTCTGCTGGGAGTCTGTTATAGACCACCCAACCAGGATGAAGAGGTAGATGAAGTTTTCTACAAGGGGCTGGCAGAAGTCTCACAATCACTAGCCCTTGTTCTCGTGGGGGACTTTAACTTACCAGACGTCTGGAAATACAACACAGCAGAGAGGAAACAGTCTAGGAGGTTCTTGGAATATGTGGAAGAGAACTTCCTGATGCAGCTGGTAAGTGAGCCTACCAGGGAGGTGCCTCGCTTGACCTGCTGTTTACTAACGGAGAAGGACTGGTGGGGAAATGTGGTGGTCAGAGGCTATCTTGGGCTTAGCAACCACGAAATGATACGAGTTCTTGATTGGTGGTGAAGTAAAGAGGGAGGTCAGCAAAATCACCACCATGGACTTTCGGAGGGCAGACTTTGGCCTGTTCAGGATGCTGGTTGAACGGGCCCCCTTGGAGAGAGACCTGAAGGAGGTCCAGGAAGGCTGGACATTCTTCATGGAGGAAGTCTTAAAGGCACAGGAGCAGGCTGTCCGCATGTGCTGCAAGACGAACTGTTGGGGAAGACGACAGGCCTGGCTGGACAGGGAGATGTTGCTGGGACTCAGGAAAAATGAACCAGTGGGGAAGACAACCAGCCTGGCTGAACAGGGAGCTCTTGCTGGGACTCAGCAAAAAAAGGAGGGTCTACCACTTATGGAAGAAAGGGCAGGCGACTCAAGAGGAGTACAGGGGTCTCATTAGGTCGTGCAGAGAGGAAATTAGAAAGGCAAAAGCCCAGCTAGAACTCATGCTGGCCACTGTTCTATGGGACAACAAAACATGTTTTTACAAACACATTAACAACAAAAAGAGAGCCAAGGAGAATCTCCATCCCTTATTGGGTGCAGGGGGGAACACTGCCATCAAGGATGAGGAACAGGCTGAGGTACTTAGTGCCTTCTTCGCCTCAGTCTTTAATAGTCAGACCAGTTATTCCCAGGGTACTCAGCCCCCAGTGCTGGAAGATAGGGAAGGAAAGCAGAATAAACCTCCCATAATCCAGGAGGAAGCAGTTAACGACCTGCTATGCCACCTGGACACTTACAAGTCTATGGGGCCGGATGGGAGCCACCCGACAGTACTGAGGGAGCTGGTGGAGGAGCTGGCCAAGCCAATTTCCATCATCTGTATGCAGTCCTGGCTCACGACTGGAGGCTTGCCAGTGTAACGCACATCCACAAGAAGGGCTGGAAGGAGGATCCTGGGAACTACAGGCCTGTCAGCCTGACCTCGGTGCTGGGCAAGATTACGGAGCGATGCATCCTGAGTGTACGCACTGGGTATGTGAAGGACAACCAGGGGACCAGGCCCAGCCAGCATGGGTTCATGAAAGGCAGGTCCTGCTTGACCAACCTGATCTCCTTCTATGACCAGGTGACCCACCCAGTGGATGAGGGAAAGGCTGTGGATGTTGTCTACCTGGACTTTAGTAAGGCCTTTGACACCGTTCCCCACAGCATCCTCCTGGAGAAACTAGCTGCCCGTGGTTTGGATGGGTGTACTCATCGCTGGATGAAGAACTGACTGAATGGCTGAGAGCAGACAGTGGTGGTGAATGGAGTTAAATCCAGCTGGTGGCAAGTCACGAGTGGTGTTCCTCAGTTTTGGGTCCAGTCTTGTTTAACATCTTTATCAATGATCTGGATGAGTGGATTGAGTGCTCCCTCAGTAAGTTTGCAGATGACATCGAGTTGGGTGGGAGTGTTGATGTGGTTGAGGGTAGGAAGGCTCTGCAGAGGGATCGGGACAGGCTGGATCAATGGGCCGAGGTCAATTATATGAGATTCAACAAGGCTAAGTGCCAGGTCTTGCACTTCGGTCACAACAACCACATGCAACGCTACAGGCTTGGGGAACAGTGGCTGGGAAAACGGCCTGGGGGGAAGAGGACTTGGGGGA